TATTCATGGGTCTCGAGTCCAGGGATCTGCTCGAGTCCTGGGAGAGTCTCAAATCCTGGTAGGGTCTTGAGTCCTGGAAGAGCCTTGAGTCCTGGAAGGGTCTTGAATCCTGAGGGGGTCTCAAGTCCTGGGAGGATCTTGAATCCTGCAATGGCCTCAAGTCCTGGAAGGGCCTAGAATCCTGAGAGGATCTCGAGTCCTGGAAGGGTCTCGAGTCCTCGTTGGGCCTCAAGTCTTGGACTGGACTCAGGTCCTCCCAGGGGTCGAGCCACCAGAAAAGTTACATAGTGCACCTTTAATAGAGTCTTGGATAAGTTGGTTAGTCAAAATATGATTTGAATGTTGGCTTATAGCATCAAGAGTCACTTGTCAGTTTACACTGCTGTTTCAATTTTCAGCCTAGATATTTTATTTAAAATGAGATAAGAGCAGTGTAGGAGCAATAATGTAGACAGACAGTAATACCAGTAGATATGAGCAGATATGAGCAGAGATGAGCAGAGAGGAGCAGATTGCAGAGTTTCTGAGAGGCCTCCCCTTTCTCCCTGGTGGAGGTGCAGTACAGATGGAGAGAGGAACATGGAGGCACAGAAGAAAACATGATTTGGTATTATTGTCTTGACTTTTTATGGAGTTTGCAACAATAAAACACTTTCTAACAACACTGTGGGATTCTGGGTTAGTCTATCATTTGTCTGGGTTATTCCGAAATCATGTTGTTTATACAATATTACTCTACTTATACTGGTTTTAATAAAGGCATTTTTAATTATTCTTGTGACAATACAGGATATTTGCTACAGCCACAACTCATACTCAGCTTGGTAATATGGGTGAGGGGTCATTTGCCTGTGGACAAACCACCAGAATGCATTTGTTAATGGGATCGGATAGGTGGGGGATATCAATAAATCAAACAACACAATAATGAGTTATTAGGTACAATAAAAAGGATATTTCTGCACTTTTGTTTACTGCCTATTTACTTTATATGCTGTGCTTGAACTTCAACCAAGACACTTACAGTCTTGTCTTAGCCCATATTGAATTGTCATTATCGGATTAAACCCCCTAGTAATTTTTTGTCAATTCTGTCGCTGAACTAGAAAATTACCATAATAATTAGGGGTGGGGTGAGACACAAGATTGGGCCCACGAGGCCAAGGCAAGATGCAATTTTAACATAATTTATAATGCATTTATTGTGCAATAAATTACACTATTTTGTCTTTGCAATATCTTGATTTATTTTATATTTCTGCTGTCATTATAGTTCTACCTTTTGGATCAACAACTTCTCAAAATATGTAACTCACCATTGCTTCACCCTTTTTGTCCAAACAAAATGTAATATATACATTTTATATACATTTTATCTTGCGAGATTTTGTGGCACAAGATCCCAAATAGTAATACATTTCAATCTTCATATTCCATAAAATTTAGTCAGTGCCTTGGCAGAGGTTTGTTATTGAAGACATCTTATTTTCATTGAATATTTATGATGATGTATTTAACTATGCATGCTACAGTAAATCCATTAGAAAGCATTAGTCACATAGAGGTCAGTAGGTACTCCTGGCAATAAAAAATGAAACCAGCTATTTGATCTGATGCATATGGTGGACGTATTGCAACCGTTAGTTCTTACAGTTAGTACTTTTAATATGAAGTACAGTATGTGCAAACTTTTTTCTCAATAGCTATCACTCACATCAGTTCCTCCAGCTTTGGTCTAAAAATACTACTTCCTTGTCTGCACACGCCACACGGAGGTAGCGCCTGCTCGGTGCAGTGACTAACTGTGAACGAAGCTCTTGATCTAATTTTGGATGGAGATGTGATGAGGGTCCTGATAACCATAAGGAAGAGCAGGATATGACATGGTTAGACTTTATGCGTTTGATGCAATTTCTAATATGAAATAGTCGGCATGAAGTCAATGAGAGGGCACATAGAGTTTAGTTCAAGCAGTTCTATTATGCAAAATCCACTTTTTAGAGCTTTTAACCATGTTATAGTTGTTTCCGCTCATCATTTACTCGCCCAAAGTTGTATTTGGAGTGATTTGTGCATGTGTGGGCAATCTTTAATCGCTTATTATCAAGGCATCCTATTGCCAATCAATCCCAGTTTTCAATGCATAAGCCCACTGCTCTGTACTTACTTTGTGCTCAAATTTGATTTTCTTAACTGGTGATACGTGTAGGATTCAGCAGTGTTGCGTATTCATTTTGATACAAATGAAAAAAAATAAAAATAAAAAATCACTTATCTACAGATATCCATTGGATGACATCTGCTCCCATTGGGCACCGCTGTTTTCTAAGTTAGCAGACTTGTTTCTTTCATTAAGTCATTTTAGATGAATATTGCAATTTAAAATGACGAAATTATAACATAATGATCAAAGGGTGTCATAGATTATAACTATATAGTATACTTAAGAACAATAGCTTCAAGCATGTTTCTATGGAAATGTTGTTCCTTTGGCTATTTGGGGCCCTCACTATAATGGGCTGTTTTTTGTTTTTGGTGTATATTATATAGTGGCACTGAGGGCAATTGGTTGGGGGCCCCTCCAGGTTTGAGGGCCCTAGGCAGCCATCTACATCTGCCTAATGGAAGCAGTGCCTGTGCTATAATATGTTATTATTTAAGTCATATTTATTTTATCACACTTACTTTACATCTATGGGCATATTTCTCAAATGTCCTGATTTGGTCCTGTTGAGCCCTGTTTAAATTAGACTTGATTTCTTTCCATTCTGGTCCAGGTTTAGATCTGGTTTAGTTTTGGCTTAGTCACAATTTCTTATAGTTTATGTGTGGTGCATGTACAAGTGAGATTTCAGCTTTGTGTAAATGTTCTAATGTCTTGAAATGCATTTTTGTTTAATCACAGTCTGAAATCTTTGCCCCACTCCACAGACTGCAGCTGTAGTATCTCTTTACAGTGTTCAGGATTCACAGATATGCAGACATCACTCCGAATGTCGAGGTAAGAGGTCTCCAAATCTAAATGTCTAAATTTCTGCTAAAGCATGCACTAACGATTGACCAATGTGTCCATAGCAACCCCATTCCACAGGGTCAGTCCGCGCTGTGACCTAGTGGTAATCAATTTGCTCCATATTAATATTATATCAGCTGCTCAATAGGCCTGTGACTGCTGTGGTCAAGAATAAAGCCACAGGGGACTCTTGTGGCCAACCTGTTTGAATCACAATAAATGAGACAGCCAAAGGTCCTATATTACACAAGCTTGTGAGCTTTAAGACATGTTATAATGTTGTTACCTCCTCAAAAATATGCTCAGAATTGTGCTTTGTTTCATTCATGCTTGACTAATTCTACATTATTAGTTTGTCTATGTCTCCAAAGCTCAAAATGCTCTGTTCTGTTCTGTTGAATTTACTTGTTTTAACCTAATCTTCACGTTTACTGGTTTACTGTTAGCCTGATTCATCAGCTGGTTTCACTTTGTAGAAACCATCTGACCTCACAGCATTAGAATTGGATTGCTTGATGGTAGGCAGATACTTTTCATTTAACCAATTGCTGATATTTGGTCATGATGTATGTAATGCGATGTATGTAAGTTTTTCCCAAATCCTGTAGGAAGAAGGGCAATAACCTCTTTCCCCTTGATAAAATTCATTCTCTTTGTTCCGGCTTTAAATCCTTGATCTCGGGAATCATTGCCAACACAGAATATATGACTCTTCGCTGATTGGCTGGTGCCTGAACTTTCGGGGGTTTTGTAAACTGTCTAGTGTTTTCCGATTCCTGACCATAGACTGTATAAAAGAAGTGGACTAAGTGAGTGTGATGTCACCCATAGCATTCAGCACCGCTCAAATGAGGCTCGTGATGTTCACGGTTACAGGAGCGAATTTGGAGCCAGGCTTTATATTATGAATAGGATTTTTTTTTGACAGACACAATAGTGAAAAAAATAATTCAGGATCATATAGAGCGGGTTAATACAAATATTTTAAGACCAAAATGACGAGGCTCACTGCTACAGTTACATAGAGAGGAGACACAAGATACTAATGTTAAATCAATTGGCACCAGGGTCAGAAGGAGCCGGAAGAGCTTCTTAGCAAACTTTCTATTTGGCACACGGTGGCTAGCGTGTTAAATACGTCCAGTCATATATAGTATCTATGTTCCTGACCTAGTCGCTGGAGAGAAATGAAATTGAGCAGAGGCACTAGGTGGCGCCAGCCTGGCTAGATTACTGTGGCACAGTGCTTAATACAACAACAACAATAACAACAACAACACTAGATGGTGCTATGATTTGTTAGGCATGTCAATGGCTCTCAAACGTTTCACACCAAATATCATCTTTGATAATATGTGGCTTTCCAAGTACCACCAGAGCTATAGTCGGGCTTTACTGGGTCAAAATTAGGCGTAAATAAACATGATCTAAAATGAGACCAAACCATGCATGGATAAGGACGTTTTAAAGAATGATTTATCAAAAAAAAAAAAAAAAAAAACATGAACGCCCCTATATTCAGTGGTACATGTACAATAGATTGAGAAAAACACTGCGTAATAGTTATGAGAAAATACTACTAGGAAAGTCCACATATTGTGAGCCTTAACCCTCCAGTGGTTCCCGATCCTAAACTTGTTTTTGCCTTGAGTTCCCCCGAAGCTCTGTCTCAAACTACTACATTTATTGATGAATGTAATAGAATAAAAGCACAAGCCTCTGCCACGTAGTTTGTCACTAATTGCTTCATAACAAGACAGTGATGGACCCCCTTTAACGTCGCCTTTGAGGTGCTCAGTTGCTCACATCACGCCCCCTGTCGGCTGAGAATAGATCTCTATTATGTGTATCAAAACTCCTTTACTATCACCGTGCTTGTTTTATTTATTAGCTGTGTCATACCGGGTGTCATGTGCTCTGTCTCCCCGGGGACCAGAGGCTCTGAGGCGGCCGCTCGCGTCCCCTCCCACCGCCGCTGTCATCCGTGGCCACACCTGCGCGAACCGGGGAAAGTCCGTGCGTCGCGGAGACAGCAGCCGAGAGACGCCGAGAGAGGAGCGAGCAGGCACGGATACAGCACCTACGGGAGCATCGGACCGAAAGCTCTGGAAATACCACTCGAGTTTAGAGAATAGACGGGTGCATCGGCATGTAGAAGGCGAGCCGGCAAAACCCACAAACTAGAAAGGGAACTGAAATACGATTAAAGACAAAGCGAGGTGCAAAATGTTGAAAAAATGTTGAAGAGGAGACACCGGATCCGCGCTGCAGCTTGGACAGGTAAGAACAACCGACACCACATGACAACTTTTTACATTCAGTCTCCGTTTGGCAGCGATGCACTTTGTCTTTACTAAGTTAGATAACCGAGCATTTTAACTTAGTTTTACGCATTTATGGATGACTTTACGCAAATGAAAAAGTATCACGTCTCTCAACCCATGCTTAAGCATCCCATTGTTTTATCTATAGCCATTAAATATTTAACGTAGTTACCAGCAATGGATACAAATGGGAAATCTTATAGTTTGAAAAATACTTATAGATATATATGTATTTTATATATTGCTTTATAATGAGAAACAAGGTCTAAGAAAGCTATTTTGTTACCTAATTACCTAACGATGAACTGTAGTACTACTATTAGATAATGTAATATACAATAAATAAATACATAAACAAATAGCATTAAGAAACACATTTTGGACAGAAATCGGGACACTAATTGAACTCTGAAATATTAAATATTTTGTTAGCATTTTCAGTCATTATCAATAATCTCGTCATCAGGGCACTAGTTCAGAATATTTCAATTTAAACCACTAAACTAAACTGCAAATGGTATAGTCCTATGCTATCATTTGAAATCAGTTGTTAACTATTAGCCTAATATGGTGTACTAATGTATACTGAGAGTGACCTTAATTAATTCAGAATATTTTAATTTAAATCACTAACCTAAACTGTGTACGGTATGGTCCTATACTATTATTTGAAACCGGCTGTTAACTGTACGCCTGCTATACTGTATACTGACAGTGACCTTAACATTTTCTTCAAAGATATCCCTGAGCTAGTCTCTCCACTTTTGCAGCCACACCACCAAGAAAATAATTTGTTATGGAATTTGCCTTAAGAATGACAGCGGTTAAAACAGGGACGTAGCACAGAGGCTTCATTGTACGGCGTGCTGGTAACCTTTGTCCAGGGGCGGTCCAGTGATACAGCGCGTGCCGAACACCTTCTATCTAGGTCCTGTAAATCATCAATTAGACTTCGTTTCGTGCAGTCAGGGGTCACTGCTGTTGTATCCCGAGAAATCCATAAAACACACAGAGGGATGTGTTGTTGAGGCTGTATTCAAGTTATTGCCATTGGAGCGAATCAATGGTGTGTCCAGGCGTGACCCCATGTTCCACCATGTACAGTGAGGGAGGAGACTGGAGATGTATACGTGAGAGCAGTGGAAATCTGAAGTAGCATAATGATTCGTGTTATCTAGTTATACTGATTTATGAACAGATTTATGGTTCTATCATTATTTGTTGTTGCATTGAAACCAGATAAGAAGCTATGGATTTGTCAGTGGTTCATTTATAAAAGAACCAGGAAGACATGCCTAAAAAAACAAGTTTGTCTCCATGGAAATGTTATTTGCTTTAAGGTGCATTGTGTAACTTTTCTGTTGGAGTGTTTATCAAATTCTTTTATAGCTTTGTCTGGAATGTTTCACAGTATTAAAGCTTTCTATCGTCATGGAGAGCAACCCAGACCAAGCTGCAACCCCGCTCACACTCAGAATGCCTGTTTATCTAGGTATTTTTGAGCTATAAAACCACTTGTAATTGAGTACATGTCAGGTAGAGCTGTTTAATGTCATACTGTGGAACATTCCAGGCAGAAAACTGACAGATCCATAGAAACATGCAGGTAACGGACCCCCAACTAAAAGTTACGATGTTCACCTTTAAAATATGTATATATCAAACGTACAGTACCTATCTCCTTTGAGTCAAGCAGGTGATGCCATCAGCATTACCAGTCAGATCTGTGGAGAGGTGAGAATGCAGGCTATTTTCAACTTTGCTTGGTTACCTGCTTTACGTGCTTCATCTAATCTATTTCATGGCTTTGACAGGACGTCGATGAAACATGAAAAGCTGTTAAAACAAACGAATTCTGAGTAAGAATGCATGTTCTTCAAAGAATTTTTGAGAAACCATTTCATAATTCATCAGAAAAGTTACATAGTGCCCCTTTAATGCAGGATAAAACCAGCATAATGAGGTATAAACCAGGCCTAGTAGACTAAACCAGAACTATCCACGGAATAAGCAAGTCTTTTTTTTTAGATTTGACACAGGTATAGAGTAAACTAGACTAAATTTGAAAATTTATTAATAAACAAGGGACATTACTTATACACAGCTGCTGTAAAATGTACTATTAAGAAAGTTCTTAGTAAATTAAAAACAAAAAAGTTACAGAAAACTAAACTAGGATTCAACCCGAAATATCCTCACGAAATAACCAGAACTAAAACACGATATAATAACCCAAACTAGTTCAAAACCAGGACTAATTCTGAGATAAATCATTAAAAAATCAGTTCAGTTATTCTCATCACAAACATACCTGGAGTTTCGTTTTGTCGTTCACACGTTTAACACACAAACCATTCATATTTAGGCTGTGTTTTTCTCTTTATCAGAAAAATTATAATACAGGAAGGGCTCCATGTGTTTTTAAACTCCATATACCTTCACTAATCATTTGGATGATCTGAAAACTACCACTTCATGACATCAAAAGCTGAAGCAGAGGATTTTGAACATTAGCCAGACTAATAATAAAAGGTTACTCATATATGTGTGAATGAAACAAAAAACAACTGTGGGTATGTTGATGAGGTAATAACATTATAATATATCTTAAAACTCAGTCACATTTTCTGCAATATAGAACCTTAAACAACACTATTTCAGAACTGCATTTCTACATTATACAGCGCAGTGCCCATCCCCAGTGAGAAACAATGTAAAAAGCATTACAAGCCCAGCTATGGAGCTATGGAGCAGTCCCAGAGCGAGCCATCCGGGCTGTCACTTCCACTGTAACAGCCGTACTTAAAAAGCATTTGACTTTAAAACAACTCAGGCTGAAAACAACATGTGATAGAGCTTGTTATAAAAGCGCCCAAAGTCTATGCCTCATGAAAGAACAGTGGTAGGCAAAGCAATTTATGGCTCCTCTCGCCGACACGGGGCTGGGTGGTCAGTTTGTGTGTGTGCGAGCCCGTATAGGTGAGGTGTCATGGAAGCTGTAGAGCAGAGGAGAGGACAGAATCTTAAACAGCACCACAAGGTATTTTGTTTCAACCTCAGCAGACACTTTACACGTAAACAGACAATAGAAGTCACTAGAAGTTTGTGTTGTCATGGTAATGGAATTTCAAACTTGATTTCTTTATTAAGGAATAGGCTACAATACTGGTTTTTGATGCTGATGTTTTTAAAGGGCTCATACTGTGCTATTTTGTGATCTGTGTTATAATGTTGTTTCCTCATCACAGACATACCTGGAGTATTGTTTTGTTTCATTCACATGTTTAACACACAAATCCTGTATATTTAGGCTGTTTCTTCTCTCAAACAGAAAACAATCTGTTGTGTCATAACTGCTCCACTGTATTTTTAAACTCCATAGAAATCACTAGATTCATTTGAATGATTTCAGGCCTGGATTTGCCAGTCTCTAAATTAAATGTAAAAGATACCTGTTAACTAGAAAATTACCGCTTCCTGACATCATAAGGTGGAACAGAGCATTCTGAGCTTTAGAGATGTAGACAGACTAATAATAAAGGACTGCTCAAACGTGTGTGATTGAAATGAAACACAACTCTGGGGATGTTTTCATTTATCTTAAAGTTGACAAAAGCCAGTTTTGGATAATATAGGACCTTTAATGAATGAACAGTCATTTTCAACACAAATTGTTATTATTTTTAATATCATCATGTATTTCTGATATATATTGAAGTATTTCTAAAACATCTCTGGAAAGGTCCAGGTTTATGTAATTTTCATGTTGTATATATTGGTATGTATTTAAATATAAGTAGCTAGTTTCAATACAGGTTTATCAGTCAGTGCATGTGTATCATTACTCTTGGCAACCACACTGGATATAAGACAGAACAATTAGATTAAAATATTAAATTTTTATTTATTTAATTTTTTCTAACAGATATTGCTTTTGAGATTAGAATTTAATAATTTTGCACACAGAGTTCACACTGCATACTTTTCTGTCCAGGAACTTTTACAGATAGAAGATTGCACAAGATTTGCTAATTGCAATTATTCAAATTGGAATATCGATTCAATTTTGTTTTATCTCTAAGTTGCAAATGCATGTAAGAATAATCAATGATGAGCGATTCCTGCCTGAGTCTATGTGCTACCTTTGATTTAAATAAAAATGTGTCTATGACTGCAGTATTGTATTACAGTAGAGGTTGTCACTTCCACTGTGAGTGACTAAGACAGATTGGCTGACAGTTAGAGCCTCTCTCATTCATTACTATGATCATTAAGAGAGAGGCAGGTCATATGATAGACTATGCTCAGGTCCACCTCTGAACCCTCAGGGGAAGTGCACACAGAGTAATGGAGAAACAAGGACAATATCAAACTGTCTCTTACGATGAAGCAGAAGCAAACCAGCGTGTTCATTTTATAAGCTTTCTTTCAAACTGTCCAAAAAGAAGTGATTTGTGCAAGCCTTTCAAATATATAATAGCTAGGACTCATTGGGGGTAAAAAAGACACTTGCATTTGTCAAGTAAAACTAAATGGTAAATGATGTAGGCTTGGTTTGGTCATGTTCTAGTCCTGATTTAACTCTGGTCTAGTCCAGGTTTAGTTCCTGGTTAGTCCCAATTTTGTTCCAATTTTAATGTGATGTTTTGGCAAGTGTGACCTACAGTTTAGTTACATATAGTTTAGTCCTGGTCTAGTTCCGTTTTAGTTTTAATTTTAGTTCCACTTTAATGTAGTGATTGTGAAACTCTAAATGCATTCAGCTGCTGAGTGAAAGATTGAACTGTCCAAGGGGAAGTTCGCAAAGGTCAAATGCATGGTTTAGACTTAGACTTAGACACACTTTATTGATCCACAAGGGAAATTATTTGAGTTGTTGTAGTGTTGAGACATATATGAATGAGGCATTAAAATGTTCCAGAGAATGGCATAAATCTGAACTATCGCCGTGGAAACAACAAGTGACACCAAGTCAAGTATATTTTTGGCAATAGAAAACAATGTGAATAGATTTTATCTGTCTCTAGATGCATTTTCACAAAGAACTTGCTTTAATATATTTAAACATACCAGTTTGGTCCAAAATTATGTGCTTTCAAGTTTTCCTTTGCATTTATATTCATCCATTATTAGAACACTGAAGTGAAGACTGTGTATAGAGCTTCTTAATAAGCGTCTTTAGTAACCACTGTGTGAAATAATGATTAAAATACTGACTGAAGCAGATAAAGAGAATGTGTTGATTAGAAACATTTCAATTCTATTCTGTTTCATCCACTTGGCACAAATATTTCATATTAATAAAACATAATAGTCTCCTTTCTATGGTCGTCACAAACAGACAGAAGTTTCAAAAGTAACTGGAGATGCAGTTGATGTTAAAGATTTACTGTGCAACTTTTCTGGTGAGGGCTTCACCACTTACAACTAAGTTACATATAATTAAAACAGGAACATGACATTAAAACATTGTCACTTTGATAATGACCAGGACCTTTGTGTGTGTAAACTGACCACTACAACATGTAAAAATCTTATGTTATAATGTTGTTTCCTCACCACAAACAGACCTGGAGTTGTGTTTTGTTTCATTCACACATGTTCAGCACACAAACCCTGCATATTTAGGCATTGTTGATCTTTCAAACGGAAAACACTCTGTTCCACTTTGTGATGTCATGTGGTAATACAAGAAGGGTTCCACTGTGATTTTAAACTCCACACACCTTCACCTGGAATTGCCAGTCTTTAAAACACAACTCCTCTTTTGTTTTTGATAAGGTAACAACATTATAACATGACTCACAAGAATTAATTTAATGTAATATAGGATTTTTTTAATTTTATTTTATTAATTTATTTTTTAAATTGCATACATTTTTTTAGGTTAAGTGTCAAAAAATTATTAATACATTTGGTAGATTCCGGCCAACTCTAACCTTGGTGGATGAGGTGCAAAGAAGTTAATGTTAAGCCCTAGTTAATATAAAATATCACTTTGTTAATGTTATTTCTCTTATGTTATTTCCTCCTAGATTTCCAATGGGCACCAGCTTGTGGACAGTGACTCACTCTTGCTCCCTGTGTTTCCTGATGCCCTGCCTTGCTTTACCATTGTAACCGTGGACAGAGAGACACCTCCTGTGGATAAAGACCTATTCAGCCTCCACATCTCTATACTCCCAGATGACCAGTGCCCCCCTGTCCCATCACGGCCCTGTTTGGTCAGCCTGTAGCCCCTGCAGAGTTTGGCATGGGTGGTCATCCTTTAGACAGATGGAGCCCGCCCTGACCCCGCTCCTCGCCTGGGGGAATGCCAGCAGATTGGACGGCTGAACGGAGGAGATGGGAGGGGGTTGTGCCGATGGTGTCAAGGAAGACAATGTAAAGAGGTAAAGAAATAGATTACGAAATGTTGACATGCTTTATGTGTTTAAAGGTGCATGTATTGTGTAACTCTATCTTCATGGAGAGCAAACCTGACCTAGTTACAGGTTAGATCTGTGGAACAGTTACTCTACTACTGTAATAATGTAAGGTAGAGCTGTTTAATGCCATATTGTGGAACAGTCCAGGCCAAGACATTACATATCCAAGTAACAAGCAGCATAAAAGTTACATAGTATGCCTTTAATGTGGAATTCAAGAAACAACTAAACTCTGGTATAACTGTGTATCCTTATCATTTGAGTTGTGTTTTAGTTAATAAATGTTTGAGTAATCCCGCTTTGCCCTGCATTTAAGGCTTAAGTAGTAAAAAAAAAAAGTTCACATACCCCATATCCCCACCCACTTTCCTGTATTTACTTATGATTACCGTAATTACCGGCAGTTATCAGCAATTTAAAAAAAAGAAAAAAGAAATGCAACTCAGTTCTAGTTCTGTAGTTTTGAATAGGAAGTCAAATGTCCTTTATCTATTTATTAGGCAAAAGATTTATTATTACATTGAACAAAATGTAAAATCACAATATCTACAGTATGTTACCATTTCACACAAAATACCAGAAAAACACATAATTTATCTTTACAAACTATACCATATGTTATGATATCAGATTTTAGTGTTACAATTACTGCATAAGAAACATCACCATTGTAAAATTATTCATGATCATTGGCACCATCTGTTCCCTACTCCTATATTATAGAGTAGTATTGCTCTTGTAGTACATCAGCTCTTCTCGTGGACTCCCCTGCAGCCTCACCTCCGGCCTGCAGATGTAGACAGGACTATAAGCGCGCAGGGAACAGAGGGACCTCCATTTTTCTTCTACAAATTGTACCTGACATTTTATTTTTTATACTTTGATAAGTCGGCTTTGACAAGATAGTAGCCTGTTCCTATTTTCAGTGGAGAGAAGAAATCCAATTTATCACAAAGTTGCAAGAAAATGTGAAGCAGCAATATTGAGTCTATAAAACTTAAGACATAGTTTACAGGCAATACTGTATAATATTTATTTCAATAAGTTTACACACCTTAAAAATGCCTAGAACCTTGCATAGCCCCACACTCCCAAAAGAAATATAGGTAAGTTCAAATGACTTGCTTTATTGAGGAGATTGAACCTGACAGGAAAAATATCTATCAATCAATGATAAGTGTGTTTTCTGAATTCAAGTGCAAAGAGCTGTTGTTTTTCTTATCTTCAGTGTTTCATATTTTAAGTACATCAGTTCCACTGGTACATTATTTTATTTGAGATGTGAAATTTAGTCAAATCATGATAAAACTGTCTGTTAAAGTAATTTTAACTTGGCTGGATTTTAGTTTTTTTCAGTACAGTATAAACATGTCTGTAAATGTTCACAGTATGGCATTAAACCTTTCTATCTTCATGGAGAATAAACCAGACCAAGTTACAGGTCAGATCTGTGGAGAGGTGACCCCGTTCACAGTCAGGATGCCTGTTTTTCTTGGTAATTGAATACATGTAAGGTAGAGTTGTTTAATGTCATACTGTGGAACATTCCAGGCAGAGCAATGACATATCCGTAAAAACAAGCAGGTGACGGACCCTCCATAAGCAAAGTTACACAATGCACCTTTAAATCACTATGGAGATAAGCTTGTGAAACCACCAGGCCGAGTTACACATCACTCCACTCAGATTAAGAATGCATGTAAAACACACCAGCTATTGAATGCTAGACAGATCATTTTAATGCCATACTGCAAAACATTTCAGGCAAAGTAATAACATCTCCATGGAGACGAGCAGATGGTGAGCTCTAGTTAAAGCAAGCCTCTTCTGGGCACTGAAATTAACATTGAAATGTATTCCCCTTGGTGTGATAAATAAAAATATTAAGCCCAAAAAAGTATCAAAATCATAACAAAAGCCTGAGCCAATTCAAATGTCAAAGTCATCTCATTCATTTACTGTATCTCCTTTCTGGCATCCTGATTAGCATAGAAATCTGATCACTAATTTGAAAAGATCCAAGCATCAACAATAAAAGTGGACAGTAATGGGTTGTGAAATGAATTGAGCAGTTCGGAGAAGCAGAGGGGGGAATACTGACAGTCCCACAGCCGCGCAGGTAATTGTAGTATGGGCTAGGGGCATATACTCCCTGCATGGATCCTCTTTTGGTGACCTTGCAAACTCCAAACTTAGGAAAGAGGGATGGAAAGAGAGGTAGAATGATAGTGCAGAGTCTGTAATTCACAATTATCTTCTTTTTTCTGGCATTATTACCCACAATGCATTGCCATAAGAGAGAACAGTTCAGTCATTTTAGCTTTAACAGCAGGGCTAAGCTTCCAGGACACACTTACTATGCATATCACCTAAAAGAGCCATTTTGGATTTTGTGCAGATCTACTGTGCATTTCAGACAAATTGTGATAATGATAGCAGTTTTCAATAGTCTTAGGAGCAGTCATGACCAAAATGGGACTAAAATACTGTTAAATAATTTCAGGTATGGCAGCTATAGTTACCATAATTTTACATAAAGAATATGTTAACTTAAGCATCAATTTAAAAGTCTACTTTTTTAGACTTTTGGGCTGTAGTTGACTGAAGAAATTCTTGGTCGACTAAAGACATAACCTGTGCATTACCATATTTTTCGGGCAATAAGTCGCTCCGGAGTATAAGTCATACAAGCCAAAAAATGTGTAATGAAGAAGAAAAAAACATATATAAGATGCACCGGACTATAAGTTGCACTTTTTGGGGGAAATTTATTTTATAAAACTAGGAACCAGGAGACCAGGAACCGACATTTCATGTTGAAAGGGAAGTTATTGTAATATATAGTTGCAATATAGCAATATAGTAACAATAGACTAGAGGCTGTTAACAGGCTGTTAACGTCACATATGAACAGTTCTTCAGATAACTGTAGCATCAACGACAGAACATAACAAATTTACCAAACTCTCCATCTCACTCCAAATCACTAAATCCATTGAAATTTTCATCCTTGGTGGCTTCTGAGCAACTCCAGAGATAAACGGAGTGCCACTTCCTCTTCTGCATAGCTGTCGTCAGCAGTGTTGGGAAGGTTACTTTTAAAATGTAATCCCCTACAGATTACAGATTACACACCCCAAAATGTAATTTGTAACGTAATCCATTAAATTACTTAGTGAGTAACGTAATCTGATTACTTTGGATTACTTGATATTGTCATGTTTTTTTAAACGACATGAATGTAGCAACCACATCCTGAAATTCTTGTTTGTTGTCTTCAAATTGTCTGAGCCCAAGTCTCCATGAATAAGCAACTGTTTGAGAAACAAAGACCACGACATCTTAATATAAGAGGTTTTGTCTGTTAAAAGACAGTAACAAGATCAGCCTTTCCTTCACCAGATTTAAAAAATATTATTGATAGAGAAATTATTTTTATATGAGATCACCTTAAATTATGTCAACCTACTGTTAGGTGTCATGTTGTTTCGACCTGGTTTAGTCCTGGTTTAGTCCTGATTTTTAGACCTGGTTTACTCCTGATTCTAGTTCAGGTCTTTAGTTCTGGTTTAGTCGTGGTTTAGTCCTAGTTTAAACCTGGTTCAGTCCTGCTTTAGTCCTGGTTTAGTCCTGGTTTAGTCCTGGATTAGTCCTGGTTTAGTCCTGGTGTTAGTTCTGGTTTAGAGGCGCACAGGAGGAAGCGCGGTTTACGCGAGAAAACACGGTCCACACGCGGCGCACGAGACGGCGGTGTCCGCGCTGTAACTACGGAAGGAGACGTGGTCCGCGGGTTCTCAGGTTGATGACGATGATGAAGGTGTTTGTGTGTGTTTGTGTGTGTGTGTCCACTCATGTCGCAGGTCACTATAGGACAGTAGTGCAGATTTCATGAGTCTATGCAGGTTGTTTTCATCAGTGCCAGTAGCTCCAGTTTCACATTTAAGTTGTAGGCGATTTTATATTTGTTTTTTTTATATATATATCTCACATCGGGAGAAGAATTTCCAAGACACAACTGCGTTTTTACCAATGCACTGCTGCTTCCACTGTGTGACTGACACCGCCAACTTTAACATGACGTTTACATCGCTCTTACTGTCGCGTTCTGTTTGGGTTTCCGGCAATGAGTGGAATTACCGAAATAAAAAAATAAATAAATGGGATGTAGCACAAAATGTGAAAACAGGAAAATACCGCCTTGTAATGTACTTATTTCAGCAAAGTAACTGTAATCCAATTACCACTCATTGAAACAGTAACTGTAACTGAATACAGTTACTCATAATTTGTACTCTGATTACGTAACGGCGGTACATGTAATCCGTTACTCCCCAACACTGGTCGTCAGTCTCAGCATCAGTTCCAGTCAGAATTATTACGGCCTTTTTGATTCCCGACAGAATGGTTTCAGTTGTCTTTATGTTTGTTTAAATTTTTAAATGTCAGTGATACAGAAGTAATGGTGCAATTTACTGACATGATACCAGATAGGACAGTGGCTCTTTTTCTTTCTTCTGCAGCCAACATGCGCAGTAGAGTGTAAAGTAGCACCGAAGCAGTAAAGTGACAGTGGTACAGGAGTACACAAGCCTAGAGCGCCCTCTCGCTGCTGTCAGTGTGAAAACTTTAACGTATAAGGCGCACCGGATTATAAATTGCAGGACCACCAAACCATGAAAAAAGTGCAACTTAGAGTCTGATAAATACAGTAATTGGTCCACTAAAGTCGGCTTGTCATGAGCTCCCAGAGCTATTACATATAATCTAACCCAAACTCCAGTGTTGTCACAATGCTAAAATTTTAAACACAGTACTGAGGATTAGACTTGATACTCAATGCAGATTCCAATGCCACGATGATAATAAAAAACAGACAGTTTTTTGATGTTACCTTATATCTGTGTAATCGGTGGTCCATGTAGGTTCCATAGTGGTTCATGGGTGTATACTAATCTATGTGCTCT